GACAGCAGCTTGAACACTTAGATGAGAAGGTTTGAGGACACTAGTTTGTGTTGATAGTGATACATTTCAGAAAAGGCTGTGGAGGATGGGGGCACAACTGGAATGTAATCAATGTCACTGAATTATACGTGTGAACATTTGAATTGATGTTATGATTTGCTGTGTGTATTTTCACACATGCACACAAAAACCCTTCAGAAACATGAACAGTGAAAGTTTGATAGAAAGATTTGTTTCTTTAAGGTGTGAAAATGAAGTTGTCACTAGTTTTAAAAAATCTTTATATTTTTGGGATACGTGTTGAAATATTTATGGGTTGTATTATACCTGATTTTTTTTCTAGGGCAGAGGGATAGTCAGGACACCAAATAAAAACCAAGATTGGCCACACGTGTTTAGTCAATTGAAGCTGAGAGATGGACTCCTGGGGTGCATAGTACTGGTCTCTACTCTCATTAAGGTCGGACCATGTGGAACTGCCATTTCGTGGGCCAAAGTGGTCAAATAGCAGTAACTTCATGGTCCAATCTAATATGTAGTTTTAAAACAAGACAAAGTAGTTTGTCTCAAACAAGACAAACTACTTCCTAAGATCTTTCTTTCCAAAAAGATATAAATCAAAGCAAACAAAACAAAAAAGGTGCTATTAATGTCTGCTCTTTGGAAAGGGGAGACTTCGTCCCTCGTCCTTTGGTCATGTTATCAGGAAGGACCAGTCTCTGGAGATGACTCTCATGCTTGGTAAAGTAGAAGGTCTGTGAAACAGGGAAAGACCTTCAACAAGATGGATTGAAACCCTGGCTGCAACGACAGGCTCAAGCACAGGGATGACGGTGAGGGAGGTGGAGGACCAGGCAGTGTTTGTACCTAAGGTCACTGTGAGTCAGAACCAACTCGGTGACACCTAACAACAGCATGAATGTCCAATCTGAAGTTTCAAAAAATGAGATGTCAACTATTTTATGAATGAAAGGCCAAGGTCTGTGGCATACCACCCCCCCCCCATCATAACATAAGGGGTATTCCATCTTCATTCTGAGATCAAGCTGCACTTTAACAGGATGCCCAGGTGGTTCCAATGTACATTAAACTTTGAAAAGCACAACTCACAGCCTGTCTAGTTGATTCCAATTCATAGGGACCCTATGAGTAGAACGGTCTCATTAGGGATTCCCAAGGCTGTACTCTTTAAGCAGATGGCCACATCGTTTTCCTGAGGAGTGGGTTGCTGGGTTCAAACTGCTGACCTTTCAGTTAGCAGCCAAGTGCTTAACCACTGTGCCACCAGGCACAACTCACAGCAACTCATAGCCAGTGGAGGGCTTGTGAAAACACAAATTGCTGGACCAGACTAATTCAGTGGGTCTGGGATAGAGGCCTGGGAACCTGCATTTCTAACATGTTCCCCAGCGATACTGATGCTGTTGGTATGGAGACCGCAATTGAAGAAGCTCTACCAGAAAAGGAATTGCCTCAGAAGATGCTCAAGGCCAGAAGTTATCAGCCTATGAGAACCCCTACTTGTCAGATTTAAAGACCATCCTCTGCCCATCGGGGGAAAATGCAAACAAAACCCTGTAACTACTTAGAATTCACACGTTAGAAGAGAAAAGTGTCTAAATTCTTGAAAGTTTTTAATCTTACTGAATTTACAAGATCTTAGGTGGTTCCAATGTTGAAATCTAAATGAGAGAGTGTCAAGGACACTTGGGTAGTTTCAAATACTAGTTCTATGCTTGGCTGTGTGACCCTGGGTAAGTTACTCAACTTTACTGTTCCTCAGTTTCTTCATCTGTAACATGGGCATTCTGGTCCCTGTCTCATAGGCTGGATGAAGACTGAAATGTTTAATACAGGGAAAGGAACCTTGAACATAGCAAATCGGCACTATATGAATGTTACAGTTTTATTCACCGATGGTTGCACCTGTGAGCTACCAGATTCTCAGGGTGGGGAGAAGGGCAGTTGGCAGTGCAACCTTGCAGAGAGACACACCAGAAGGTGG